CACACACATATATATATATATATATATATATATTATTTTTATTATTACAATTTTCATTACAACTAAATATATATGTTTTCTTTAATTGATAAATGTTCTTTCCAAATTGGGAGAGCATTTAAATAGATTAATTGGTGGGCAGAACTTACATCTAACATACAAGCCATAGTACTTGCTGTAGAGACAGGGGGCTCTGCACATATGACTAATTATTGTATTGCCTCTTGCATCTCTTTTGCACTACATGCCACTGTGCTTCAATGGGGCTAGAAGCACTTCAGCCACATTTGAAATGAGGAGTCATTGACCCCTGAGAAAAATGAATAGACCATTCACATTGCTATTTAAGGGACTGAAGCATAAAAATGCAAAAAAAAAACAACAAAAGTCTAAATTTAAAAAAGTCTAAATTGTGTCTAGGATCCCTTGAGCTTTATTTCTGTGTTTCTGCAGTTTGGGGTAAATGGCCTATACAAATTATAAGGGCCAATGACCACTTATTTTTTTATGCAGCTGAAATGCAAGAAAAGGTCAAGGAATAAGAATTCTAAACTTTTCTGTATACTTCATGCTGAGATAATCCTGTTATTTATAGCTGCTCTTCCTTAGCCAGGTAGCCTCTTTTTTCCGACTATGTGTTGCATACTATCTTTTGTTTGCAGTGCAGTGTAATATGCTTTTTTTTTTTTACATGTATAAAAAACATTGTTTGGATACACTTTTATAAAGCTCCCAAGCAGATGAAGGTAAAAAAATGAGATATGATACATTTTTAACACTATTGCACATTCTATTGCTTTATGTGACTTGCCATCAAAGGCAAAGGTGACAGTTGGCAGTTTGCTTCTATGACAGGAAGTTTATGAAAATGATGTAATTTTCGCATCTGGGGGCCCTTCCAATGTCCACTTAATGCTCTCATGTTAACATTATTATTTCACATACAGCAATGCCTGTGTTTCTTTGTGTGTATCGCAATTTAACATCATTCTTGTAGCAATGTCTTGTTTTGATGATATCATGAACAAGATTATATGCCTTGATACCTCATCATCTACACAGAAATGCCTCTTTTATATGCTTACAAAAATGTGTACAAAATATTGTTTCAAGCAAGGTAATGTGCAGGTTGTGTTATGTATGATGTGTTAGGAGCAGCTATTTTGAGAAGCTAATGGTACATTTTGACATAATAATACATAAACTGAACTTGAATATAAAATCTGTGCACAGCATGGAGTCTGGACGTGCTGTGAAAGCACATAGCTTTAGAGTAGGCACTTTTTTCAGGTGTACATATATGTAGGAATGTGCATGGACAACTGAGGTTTTGTGATGGAAGCTGGGCTGTGGACATATGTCTGTTTACTATAATTTAAAATAAATAAATATA